AGGCCGTGGGACGGGTAGCGGTAGAGGACCGAGGCGAAATGTTCGCTCTTCTATCAAGGGTGTTACCACTTCATATAATCACTCAACCATCCCGGTGAAAAGAAAGGCTATCTTTGGTCATAGTTACTGCTGCCTTTGCTAAGGAGGTAGTTCCGAGCTCGGCCTGAGATAAGAACAGAACAAAATGACCACAGCCAACGATCCTCTTGGAAAGTCCTTTTAAAGTTCAACTACCTGAATGTCGCTGGCTTTTAATGTCATCTCTACGTTGTACTTGGTGATGTCGATTTTGGTCACGCGAGCCTGCAGAATGGTCCCTGGCTGGGCCTGTTCAAGCACGCGCTCCGTGGGTGGATCGGTTAGGCGGAGGGGAATGAAGCCGGAGATGCCATTCTCCAATTGCAACCGCAGTCCGACAACTTGGCCGGGGCAGTCATTACTGTCAAAATGAGCCCACATCTGGATAAAAAAACGGAAGTTTGTAAATTTGGTGCGACAGGAGATATGGCTGATCCTATGGTCAGACTATTCGCGGAACTGTAAACAGTGGTGGCTTGTGCCGCTAGAAAAAAAAACAGGCTTATCTTAGTGCTGGACAATAATTATGAAAGTAAATCATGAAAATGGGCTGCAATAAATAGGTCACATGTGTTATAAAAATTTGTAAAACAGTAGTATATTCTACTATGGACCGAAAGTATGTTAGGGATTGCATTGGGGTTTACAGAGCGGCTGAGAGTAGTAAATTAACAGTCAAGAAAACTGATTCGGCCAAAGGCCACAGGATAGAGGGACTTGTGAGGAAATATGCATAATGTATTCAGGAATCCATGAGCATAAAAAGGTTGTGTCTGGGAATTCACCAAAATTCCAATTAAATGTTGAATGTGAAGTTCCATACGAAACAAGAAAGCATAGTGCGATCGGCCCAAAAGGAATGTCTGCTCCCTCTATAGTTCGTATCTGATAGGTATTGGGACTTAGTCCCTGACCAAAGCAAGATGGAGCTGAATCTATAAGAGTAAGGGGTATCGTAAACTCAATAAGTGTTTATAATGGGGGACGCTTTAAAAAATAGTGGATATCAGAAAACACCAAACGCGCTCAATATAAAGAGCTCCGGTGACACTTAAAACAAGAATCTTCCGCATTAAATATCAAAAATGAATAACTAGAGCCTAGGAATGTCAAATAACATAGCACATACCTCGTCGAGTTTCTGGAAGTCATCTTGCTTGCAGAATGGACACATCCACAAACCGGTAACTTCATTTTTGGTCGGATTCGCCTTATCTAACTGTTCCGGTCTGGGCTTCCTGGTGGCTACACCCAGCACTTGACACTCAACCAGGCGACCGACATGCAAAGTCTCCGGGGTCTCATGGGTAGTGAGACTGAAAATTTGCTCCGCGGTCAAAGGTTCGAAGGGAAAGCGGAGATCTCGGTAGCGGTGATTTAACTCCTTGCGGATATCGTAGAGCGTGATGTGTTTGTCGCCGTGGCCCTGCCTCTTAAGTTCCTCAGCGAAAGCGTCCAGGTCGAGTTCACGTAACCGGGCCGGACTAAAGGAAAAAAAATCAAATGTGTGACTAGGACTAAAGCACGTAGATTTTCACTTTTAACTTAAGTCATCCTACTCAACAGAAAGACGTAAGACACAGGCAAGTTCTTCCATCACAACTCCGACTTGCGCTACAGGGTCAGCGGCAATCGACCAGATCCGACCTCTGTCAATGTGCTAACAAGGCATATATGCAAGCTTCGGGGGTTTTAAGATAGAAAGAACTAAGCTGGGATGGGAGATGCAATCTTATTTCAGCAACTTCAGACCTAGGCATGCAAACGCTTAAGCAGTGCAATGCAAACGATCGTGGCGCTCCCAGTATTTGTGTTGGAAATTAACAAGTGCCCCCAACTTTACTACAGTGATACCAGTAATCGACATGGACTCACAATAATTTCGAGGTAAAAATTCAAAGCCTTGTTTTTTCCCCCAGGGAAGAGTACCCACGAGGATTGAAGGCATGTGCCTTCGTTGTGGTACTTTCGACATGCCAGTGTACGTCATGATGTTGGATGATGATGATGATGATGATGATGATGATGATGATGATGATGATGATGATGCGCAGAAATAGGATTCCTGAGAAGAAATCCCATTCAGGATTGCCAAACAAAAATTGTCTACAGAGCGAAGCCTCGATTACTGGACAGTGAAAAACAGTTGAGTGAGTGGTGAAAGTCACACCAACTTCGCCCCGCTTGGTAACTTTTTGCCAAAAAAACTCGTTACCAGAGCTCAAGAGAAATCTAGTCACAGGGAAACCAAACGATGACGCATCAAAGACCAACCCTCCCACATTTTTATCCTAGTGCGTTAGGTTAGTTAGGTTCCTGTATGATGTATTCTGATGACTTTGGAAGACCGGACGGCTCTGAACATGATTTAGTGAAAGCTCAGTTACGTCACACAAAAAACTTGATGCCCAGAAACCATGAGCTGCGACGCAATTCGGCGTAATCCATCTCAGTGGATTTCGTTATTGTTGTCGCCTTCCTGTTGGCTAGTTCCGAAAACTCTGACATTGACAAATTGGTGCGGACACCAGTCGCCAATGTCGAGGCCGATGTCAAAAATAATGAACTTACTTACTTACTTACTTACTTACACGTCTCAAAGTGCATCACAGAAGGTATCAACGGGCGTCACAAGTATGCGATATCTGAGAAGAAGACTCGATCGCTGGGATAATACGTTTATTCACCTGACGTTTCGATATCCTTCGCGGATTCATCATCAGAGACATGAGTAGGAAAAAGTAGCAGAAACGTTTAAATTATTCGGCTACCTGACAGTGGTAAACAAGTTTTCCTAAAGGTCGGTCAGCACATGGACATGGACAGCTTGTCAGCCGTATGTAACTAGGATGCCTACTAGACCGGGGGCGCAGTGATGACTTGCGAGGCAACCACCCCGTTCTCCGCCTCCCCCCACCGCTGCCATCCTAATCCAGTGGAAAGGCAAAGTCAAAAGGATTGTAGGTAAACAGGACCGGTATTCAGCACGCCTAGAAAGGAGTTTTCAGAATAGATTTGTCAAAAAGGACCCATTGAAGGGGTGTAGCAGTCATGTCATCAGCCTGCAAGAGGACCACGTTACCCCGTCAGACGGCTGCCTTCTGGACCACAGCACTAAGGGCACCGTGATAGGTTAGGAGAGAGCTGGACTACCAACGGCGAGAAAACTCAGCGCTAGATCCGCAATCGATAGAAAAATATCGAAAGCCAAAGTAACAGCTTGCCAGAAAACAGCAAATCACAGCAAGGGCTCAGAGCCTGAAAAATTGAACAGCCAGTTTCCAATTTCATAGCTGCCAACCAATAAAGGTAAAAAAACTGGCGTCATTCCAATTGGACTGCAAGAGCCCCTCGGGCCTTAAATATACAATTTATTGAATTATTGACCGGCCTATCCATATCCAATGTTAATTCTTTGCGAACAGTGACCCCTAGCTAGGCTCTCCAGTTGTTATTGCCCTAAACGATCAAAGGTGTTCATTTTTTTTCAAGATGGTTCCAGGGGTGACCAGGGAAAGTTTGTTGTTCTAAGCACAAAACAAAAGTCGATTCACGAAGTCATTTTACAACTTTAGAAAAAATTTTCAGTTACAGTTTACTACCCTTCGTCTGATTGTCAGAGTTTCCATCATTGCCAGAATAGACTGTGGGTTGGCTGTTTTAATGCTTAAGATATCCATTCCCCAGGTGCACTAAAATCAGCAGTTTAAAGAAAAGAATAAGTCATGAAGTTTCAGAAAAAAGAAAAGAGAGGAAGGGGAGGGAAGAGAGAGAAACAGATTGGCAACAGTCTTTGTGTACGAGTTAGAGTAGGACGCCAATTTATTTGATATCTTAACTGTTTGTAGCCCTAAATGCGAAAAATATCAAACTTCAAGTACGAAATGCAGGAAAAAGAGAGTCTGCCAGTGAGAGAATGCACAATCGGAAGAGCTATTACAAGTTCTAGGTGCAATAGGAGGTTCTGAGAACTTGCCTCTGAACAATTTCTTCCAAAGCAGCTGAGGGATTATTGTCGTCAGTGTCGTCGTATTCCAAGGCATCCTTTGCCATCTGCTTGGCTAGGTCATAGCTTTCTGGATGCACACGTGTCGAATCGAGAATCTCAATGTTATCGCCGCCCAAGTCACGGGCCATTGAAGAATCAATCTTGATGAAACCGGCGCAATTGATCGCTACATGTGGTCCTAGGCCCAGGATACGAGCGAGCTGCACCCGATTCGTCAGGTAAAGCTTCTTCTGCTTCAAAAGCTTCATTCAAAATAAACAGGAATATTAGGGACTATTGGTTTGTGGGCGGAAAAAAAACTCCGAGAATAAGCTTATCTACTAAATCAATTAATAATTAAAAGTGAGGAAGTATTGTTAAGAGCATGAAGAGTCAAAAATAATAAGACTGCGTGTCTTTTGAAATCTAATAGCAAAAAGTGAACTGAAAGATCCACATACCTTGAGCATATAAAGAGCTTTCCTTGGTCCCAAGCCGGCAACGAACTGTAGCAAATTGGCGGTGTGTGGATGCAGCAGGCATCGATTTATGTCGACTCCAACCTCGTTTGTTCGGTTGATGAACTCGATCTCCAGTGCCTTTAATAATAATTCGCGTGGAACAGAGTCTTGAATCGGATGCCAACGAACACCTAATATCTCAGCGTCGGTGTTAAAGAGCTGAGCAAACTCGGCTAAGGGATCCTGGAGCTTTCGGCCAAGAGAGATTGCTTGTTTAAGGACATTAGAGTAGGTGGATGGAAGGTCTGAAGAGGCCTGTGAGGATTGGGCGTAGACAATAGCCAGCTCCGTGTCCATGAGCTCGATATTGAGGCGGGAGAGACGCGACTCGCTCGGCAAATCCTCGATCAGTTGTTGGATTTCTTGTCGCAGGGTAAGAGCGTGCCGCGAATTACAGCCAATAACAACCGCCTGAGGACGGTGGTGGCTTATAAAGCTCGACAGGCGACGGATATCCTGAGCCTAGGAGCAGTTGCACAGAAAAGGCGAACACATGTATTTCAAAAAATGAAATAAACTAGTTCAGGAAGGTAGATTAGAAGGACAATATGTCATACTAAAATACCTGGAGAGACTGGGAGTGTTGGCAATCTAAATGTAGCTTCCCAAACATACACAGCAGTTCGAGCGTTGTATCCAAAGAGGTCCACCGTATGCTCCACGGGAGGGGGGGGACAGAGACGGTGAACTGCGCATGAATTATTTTTAAGAGATATTAGGCTTATGCTGTATCTAGCGCACTCTTTTTTCCCTAGCTCACTCGTGTTTAATGTCAAGACAGTCAAGCAGGCTAAACAGATATCCTAGGCTAGTCGCCACGCCCCCAGGTGGGGCATTTGTTATGGGAGCACATGCCACATAACGCTCACTATACCCTGGTCTAGATTCCGTGTTGATCCAGCGCGTATACCACGCGACCCGGTTTAGGGTGCACATGCATGCTGATATAAGTTGCATTAAAGGATCGCTAAAATGTTGGCTACTATAGCACAGTAGAAGTTAGTGAACAGAAACAACCGACGGCTTTGGATGAAGAACATACCCGCTGGCTCTTCAAATCATCACGCTGCGATTTGCCGCTGCTTAAGATGCCTGGAAGATGGAGGAAATCAGTTACCTCCCCATCTGCATCAAGTTGTACAGCGGAAACAATTGAGTGCATCACTTCAGTGTCCTCCTTTATAGCGAACGCTAGAACGCGAGCGGGTTTCGGCCAGACAGAACCACCACTACCCCCACTTCGGTCGCCCGAATGACTCGAACGTCCGCGACCCACCCCGGCAGAAGTGGACGCATTGTCATCATCCGGGTACAGGGAACGATGGTCGTCCGTGGTGTACGGTGCGACTTTGAGACACTTGAATAACTTCTGGGCGCAGAGCTATATGGAGTGCAAGAATCAATGCCAAAACATAACCTGTAGTATAAAGTGAGGAAATCATAAGAAAAAATTGCCAGTGCTGAAAAAGTAAAATGCTTCAGGTAAAATACAGCACTAAATACAAGTGTTTTACGGGCTCGATTGCAGTGAAAACTTGAAGACCTTCCGATCGGAAGATTGGGCAGCATTATTAAGGACGAAAGAAGTGTAAACGACTAGCACTGGCCCTTTTGCAAGATGCAGTATGCTGCAGTTACTAAGTGCCCTTAAAGTACTTATTATTTACGTAGCAAGTACAGTCAAATAGTTTCTCGCATCCCGTACAAATCTCGACAGCAGTAACACCGAAATAATGGCTTCAGTGCATCAGTCATCTTATGCGGTCGTGAAAACTGTGGCGCGCACAAAAAGGACAAGTGAAAGCTTGCCTTTTCCAACGTCACTGCCCTAAAATGATCCTCTGAGTGAAAATATGCAGATTTCGTATCGTATTAAGTTGTCGAAAATTGACATGGTAACAAGACGAGACTATCATAGGCCACCTGAGAAAGAAGACTGTGGTTTTTAACGTACGTTCTCTGTTGTATGCACGACGTATTCATCACCTTCGCAACTAACTCGGCGCAACCGCCTCAGAGTCGGTGATTAAGAGGCAGTCAGAACCCGGTTCGACATTATGTATTAAGATATAAAGGTGCGTCCATCGACTCCGGTATTGGACCTTCGCCACTGAAGGAACGAGCGCATCCAACCCATTAGACTCATGGTTACAGGTCGTGGGGGGCGAGGAGGCCATCTAGAGGAGACAATTACGGTCGGCCAGACCAGGTACAACCGCGGTTATACCAAGTGTAAGTAATTACTTGAGTACAGAGTAAAATGTCGATATCTCTTTGGGCTAAACCCGTGGGTGCTAACGATGCAATCAGTCTCGTACTTAAGGTGCTGGACAATTCCAGAGGGTTTAGAAAGTGCAAGCAGTTTGATTATAAATAATCTAGAGCAGGGGTCGGCAACCTTTTTAACTCAGAGATCCAAGAAAGCAAATATTTGGAAATATATTTCCGAAAGAGCCATATAGTATAT